AAGTATTTTAACTGAATTTTTAACTGCTGTTGATTGTAGTTTTAGCTCGTCTTCCCGTGTGGCTTCTGGGGTTCCTCAGGGTAGTGTTCTTGGCCCTATGTTCTTTATTTTATATACAAGCAAGATGTGGTCTGGTATTACTAATAAAATGTCGGCATATGCTGATGATACTTCTCTCTATGCTGATATTCCTTCTCCGGCAACTAGGCAAATAGTAGCTGGCAGTCTCACTGTTGACCTGATATTAATTCAATCGTCTTGCTCTCGGTGAAGAATGAACTTAAATTCTACTAAGTCTAAGGAAATGATTGTGAGTCGGTCTCGAACGCAGTTGCCTCAACATCCAAGTCTGGTGATTAATGGAGTCTTAATCACTTCAGTGAAGCTCTTAGGTGTAACCTTTGATTCAAAGCTTGCATTTGAATTATATATTAGGAATATGGTCCGGTCAATTTCAACTAAGATAGGCATCATTCGTAAGTACAGGAAGGTCTATGGAGATGACATTAGTCGCAGATGCTTCTTTATTTTATTCTGCCTCATTTTGAGTATTGCTCTCTTGAGTGGTTTTCTGCTACAGAGTCACATATGACGTCTGACTTAGATTTGGACATTGAACATCGTAGAATCTTACACAAGATTGTAACCGATAATTCACATCCCTCTATAAGTTTTATCTGATTTTTATCAACCTGCAAAAGTTACCTGAAGTTCTATGACCCTCAAGTCAATGACATTTGATCAATCGTCTACAAGTCGGTTTTCTAGATGCTTTTTGCTGCTATTTGTAGGCTATAGAATAGATTGCCTTCAGAGACTGCAACTTCTCCGACTTTCGATAAGTTCAAAACATCAGCTAATATGTTTTTGTTACGCATATAGCTGACTTTCTATTATTTCATTCTTAGCTGTAACTTGGCCTGCACTGACACCTTTGGCGGTATAAATCTTATTTTGTCAGTGTCGATGTTTGTATAGTTTACAATAATAATATTATTAGTAATGTAATGTGCGAATGCTTTTATAGCATCAGTGATCATATTGCCTTGGCGGAGACATGCTCTCTGTGAGTGCTTATATATATATATATATATATATATATATATATATATATATATATATATAATATATATAATATATATATATCCCACACACTTTTTTCTAGGAGGGCAGCCCTGCTCCAACATTTATTAAGTGAATAAAGACATCTTGGTTGTCCACACACACACACACATACACATATATATTATATAAATATATGTATGTGTGCGTGTGCGTGCGTGTGCTTTTTCTGTGGGGTGACTGGTCGCACGGGAGCGCGAAACTGACTTCCCGCACAAGGCCTTAATGATTAAGGTCTCACTTACGAGTACTGTGTAGGTATGGTTGGTGACGCCTATGACATCACATGGGTTAGGCAGAGAATGAGAAATTAAAGATTGGAAGGTTGTTGGATGGAGATAATAGAAAATGGTAGCCAGATGAGCGAAGACTAAAGCATTTTCAGACGCTGGTTTATGCCAGCGATATGTTAATGTCTGATAGAAGCGACGTTTAAGTTGGCTGTAGGTATATATAGCATATTCTGGCTCTAATTGAAAATTTTCTCATTCTCCAGCTTAGATATGCAAACCGTACCCTGAGGGAAGGGGTCAGGGACTGGTGGACGCTTAAAAAATCGTTTTGGGGGGATACGCGCAGTATAACCCATCTGGTGTTATGGCAAATGATTCATAAACCACTTGATTGTACACTGCACGCAAATGTATAATCGGCATTGAACATACGGCCTCTCTTTTTTTGGCCTCTCACATCAGAGTAAACAATGGTATATATTTTCATCCGCTTGAAAAGTTTAATATTAAACAACGCTGGCAGGAATAGAGTAACCTTCGTGAACATCAACATTATCTCTTTGAGGAGGGGGGGGAGGGGGTATCTAAAAAGTGTATGTTTTGTACACAAGTGAAAATATTGAAAACTGTGAACCATCTCTTACATGATTATTTTATAAACCCATGTCATACAACATATGCACAAATCATATACAAACAGCATAAAATCAAAGACATATTGTCAAACTAAATGAGTAGACGCATAGAAAAAATACAGCTGGCAGAAGCACCAGCCACGCACGCGAAATCGGGACAAGAGGGAGATTACCGTCGAAATCCCGCGCAAGAAAGACGAATCTAGCAGGGCTCACGAGACTGTTCTCGCCATTGCCGTTCGTGCAGTGCAGCCTCTTGCATCGAGCCGAACGCGCCCCATCGACCCCGTGGTCTTCCTCTCCGCCTATTTGGCTCCTTCGCCAGACCGTCGTGACGTTTGTGTCCAAAAGACATCTGTTTCTCTATGTAGCGCAGCAGCCAGTCGCCCATTATTATAATGTCGGTCCTTACGCTTTTATTTGATTAGATACAAGGTATCTTATCAAAGGCTGCGGTTCTTTTCACATCTGATTTACGAGTTGGTCTCGAATAGAAAGCCACTATTGTAAATACACGCATCCTAAAAGTCTGTTATTGTGTCTAGTTGTCTTGGCCTTGCCAAAACCTTTTCATCTCACTCAGGGTCTTCTTCGCAATCAAACCTCTTACTAAGATGCTTGAAATGATAGACTTCTTTTAGCCTTAACCATTCAAAACATTATTAGCATGTTTTGCTCATTTTCCTGTCATTCATCACATCACTTTTCATCCATCTTCAAATCGCACCCCACATTCTACTTGGCCATGACTTCAATAGTGCTGGTTAAACGATCCCTTTACTTGGGAAGTAATGCTGCATCGTCTGCTCAGTGGCGGCCACCTATTAGTGTTTCTCCAACACGAAGATTCATAACCGCTCAACTTCCATCACTTCACGTATGATGTTCTCCGCATAGACGTTTAACAAGGCAGGAGAGGGTATGCAACCGTCAGATGCCCTTCACTCATCTCAGACGTGGCATAACTGAAGGCCTTTGAATACTCGATAAACCGAAAAAGCAGATCCTGTTACATTTACGGATTTATATGTTAAATATATAGTCTGTGTGCCATATGATCCTTGTACCATTTCAGCAACACAAATCGGTTTCTTTAGTTTTCCCTCCAGTTCTGCTCAGCACAGTTTACAGCAGGATTATATTTGAATTGTTGATAAGCAAGGTTTCTCAATGTAAGTGCAGCATATCCTCCAGTCAGCTGTGCTTCAGTGACGTTATAGCTTGCTCAACTTCTTTCAGAAAGAAAGGAAAGTTACAAAGTGATTAAAACAAAAGCAACAACTACTACTGCTAGTAATTATAGTAGTAATAATGATAGTATTAATCACAGAATTAAGGAAGGAATACATGTCTAAAAGTGTTCTCGGACTAAAACCCCGTAAATACCTTTATTAGATATTTTGTTACCTTTCATCTCTAGCTTAAGCATCAATATTTTCTCGTTAATGCACTATAATCATCACGCACACTCACACACACGTACACGCACACGCAAACGCGCACACACACACACACACACACACACACACACACACACACACACCACCACACAACACACACACACACACACACACACACACAAACACACAACACACACAAACACACACACACACACACACACCACACACAACACACACACAACAAACACACACACACACACACACACACACACACACACACAAACACACACCACAAACACACACACAAACACACACACAAACACACACACACACACACACACACACACACACACAAACACACAACACAAACACACACACAAATACACACACACAAACACAAACACAAATAACACACACACAAATACACACACACACACACACACACAAACACACACACACACAAACACACACACACAAACACACACAAATACACACACACAAATACACGCACACACAAACACACACACAAAGACGCACATGCACCTCCCAGACGTGTAGCAGCCATAGAAGGGCCACCTTCGCAACTAGCAATCAATACCAAGGAATTTTTGATGAGCGACGCCAAAATTACATGCCTGTTACCAACGTCTCCCATGCCCACGTGGGGGGGGGGGGGCTTGGTTCCCCTCGCCGCACAACACGACATTGGAATTTACCTTAAGAGCACGGAACCTCCCGCCTTCCACCTCCCCCTCCGCCATATCCCCACCGCTCCTCCCCTTCTCCTTGCTGTCTCTTTTTGCTCATTTGTTATTGAAAAATAGTCCTTTTCACATTTGCTATGTACGTGATAAGAAATTTGAAAACAACGACGACGATACAGATAAGATACGACTTGATATTTTTTCTCCTCGTATTGTTTAGTACTGTTAGCATTATTACTGTAATCCTTATGATCATAATTACCACTATTATTAGTTTTATCATTTTTGTTTCTACTTCTAGTATTGTTGTTATTACTATTATCATTATTATTGTAGTTGTTGTTATCGTCTCGTCTTTTTGCTCAGTCAATTATTTTGCAGTTATGGTTATTGATCTCTACTTGACATGCCACACACGCTCATAGAGTTCGTCCTCATCCATATAGTTTCATTTTCCTTAATGATTCAGCCTCTGGCCTATTTTTAACGTATCAGAGCTCGTATCTAATCTCATGCATACTTCAATTATCGCCTCTCAAACGCTCGTTGGCTTAGGTCTATATTTGTCCTGTCGTCCTACCGTTCACTCCACGTCTCTTGCATTTACTAAATTATTGAACTTCTTTCGCGTTTATTCCTCTGTGTCCATGCACCATTCCCTCCGTCCCTTCCTCGCTTAGCAACTTTTCCCGGTATCTCTTCTATCCTTCTGACCTAACCGCTTACCCCATAAGACAAACTTGGGGCCTCACTTACTCTGTTGACCTCCCCTAATCCTCCTGCTGCTCTGCCCTGCCCTGACCTTAGCCAGCCTTCTCGTCGCGGCCCAGCCCCTCGTCCACCCCCGTGAGGCTCGAGCGCCTCCCCCGATCCCGTGTCCACTGACGTTCCTCCCGCGTCCCGCAGGTGCCAGGAGAAGCGCTACGCCGCGGCCCTGCCGACGGTGAGCGTGGTGATCCCGTTCTTCGAGGAGCACTGGACGACGCTGCTGCGGACGGTCGTGTCGGTGGCCAATCGCTCACCCAAGCACCTGCTCAAGCAGATCATCCTCGTCGACGACGGCAGCACCATGAAAGGTGGGCTTCTCGTTACTAATATTATGACCATTATCCTTCTTTATTATTCTGTTATTACTTATTGGAGGTGGCAGGCTTATATTTGTTTTTCGTGTTTTACTCTTTCTTATGCAATTGTGCTCTCTTTCACTTTTCTGAAAGCGAGACACATCTCAGCCACTGGGAACAGAAACAGAAAAAATAGGAGTAATCACAGAAATGCAGATTTCACTATAAGCCGTCGACATGAAGCTCCAAAAACCAGGCTCTCCCTTCCCTCCTTCCCCACAGTCAATCTCGAACCTCTTGTACATCCCCCCTCCCCCTCTATATCCTTTGCGCCACCTATAGGACGCCTCCCTCTCCCCGCAGCGTTCCTGAAGGAGCCACTAGAAACGTGGCTGGCGGAGCACGTGCCGATCGCGCAGGTGGTGCGCCTCCCGGAGCGCCGCGGCCTCATCACAGCGCGGCAGGAGGGCGCCAAGAAGGTCACGGCCGATGTCATCGTCGTCCTGGACTCCCACTGTGAGGTCATGATCAACTGGCTTCCGCCCCTGCTTGGTGAGCCCCTTTGACCTTGCATAGAAGCCCATCCCCTTCCGGTGACCCCGCTTTGTGTTGTCATTGAAGGACCTCCTTTCTCTGCCCTTTTGCGAGAGCCGTGTTTCTCACCCATGTTCCTTTCAGCGACGTGGCCTCCCTCTTCCCTCCTCCCTTGCAGAGCCATCTTCCTCCTCACCTTACCCACCGCCTCGCACTCACCCACCTTTTCCTTCCTTGCAGACCTCCTCCCGCTCATCTCTCCTCTTGCCTTCTTATCCTTACCTCCCAGTTGCAGAGGCCTCCTCCTTCCCCGACATTCCAGCCTTATGCCTCCGTCTGCCCCTCCCCCTGTGCCCATCGTGAGAAGGCCATGCCCTCTGCCTCCTCACCCTCCCGCTCACCGTCTTGTCATACACCACCTTACTCCCATCGCAGGCCCTTCCCCGTCCCTCTCCTCCTTCCCCTATTGTGTCATTCACCCCCTCCCTTCCCTTAGTACCGCCCCTCTCCTCCCCATCCCGCCCCACCCTAAGCCCTCGTGTCCCCCTTGCAGACCCCATCGTCAGGAACCCCCGCACGGCCGTGTGCCCCTTGATCGACGTCATCAACAAGGACACGTTCGCGTACTCGCCGCAGGACAACGGCGGCCGCGGCGCCTTCGACTGGAGGCTCTACTACAAGCGCCTGCCGCTCCCGCCCGAGGACGAGGCGCGGCTGCCCGAGCCCTTCGAGTAGGTGGGGGAGTAAGTAAATGGTGGTGGGAGGGGGAGGGATGGGAGGGAAGGAAATAAGGAAAGAAAGCAGGAAGTAAGAGAGAGAGAGAAGGGGGGGGGGGAGACAGAGGGAGAGGATTAAGATTCAAAATGATATAATTCATTAGGCTACAAGTTATGTCAACTAAACTACAAAAAATGATATATAAAGGCATAGTACGAAAAGGGGACATATGATGGAGATAGTTATTTGATAAAGAACGCAAGACTGATTGCGAAAATTGCATTATGAGAATGTTTAGGACATTACATTTTCTGAAAGACTAACTGATTTACTCTGTGCTTAAAGATGTTAGCGCTATGGATAGGGATCGATTTTAAGACAGTGAACTGAAATATTGCTCAATTTCACTGACCTTTCCCGCGGGCGCATGCCGTCTTTGTCCGTATTACCATTTTCGGGTCCTTTACGCGTGCTTGCAAAGAGGTTATATGGGTTTCCTTCCCAATCCACTGTACAATAAGGCACGTAACTTATATTAATTAGTATATTCGGCCGGCTTGTTAAAATTGTGCCAGGCCCGACCCAATGAATATTCGTATAAACAGACATCCATATACACGGAAATGAATGCATACCTATCGATCTATCAAATAAATATATTTATTTTTCTATCTGTACGGTAGATATACATGTCTAGACTGATAGATATACGTTTATTTCTGTGTATGTGCATGTCCGTGTAATAAATGTCAATTAGGTCGGGCCTGGCATAATTCTATCAAACCGGCCGATTAATTCCAGTGCTTTTACAATGAACATGTGTCGGGTATGGTATAACATAGTTGTTTATTTTTGCTTAAATCTTGTTGGCGTTATCCTTTCTTGAAAATGTTTCATCTATATGGAGACCCACAATTGGTTATGGCGTCCCGTTTCATTGCATAAGGTCCGGGGAGAGAGGGAGGGAGGGAGAGAAATTGGAGGGAGAGGGTAAGAAAGAGAAAGAGTGAAAGAGAAAGAGAGAGAGAGAGAGAGAGAGAGAGAGAGAGAGAGAGAGAGAGAGAGAGAGAGAGAGAGAGAGAGAGAGAGAG